CTTTCAATTAATTTCAGTATACAACAGCCCAGCCAACAAGTTTAGTACTGCTGATCTTGAAGGCCTATTAGATCAACCTAAAAATTGCATACTAACTGGCGATCTCAACGCGACAAATCCATTCTGGAATTGCCGCAGAATTAATACTAACGGAACAAAGGTCTATGATTATATCACAAATAGTGAATGCCTACTATACTTCCCACCCGAACACACCCATTACCCTGCAAATGGACAAAATCCATCAACATTAGACCTTGTCATCACTAAAGGAATGATGTTGGCCACTGACCACATTGTACTTCACGAACTCAACTCTGACCACATACCAATAATCTTTCAAGTTCAGACAAAGACAGACCTTCCACACCAGCGCGACAATTGTACGACTACGCTAACACAGACTGGGCAAGATATAAAAATATCCTGACCCAGAAAACTATAATCAACAATAAAGTCAACAATACCAATGACATAGACCGCGAAATCGAGCCTCTGACTTCCAACATCATTAAAGCCAAAGACTCGACAACAAATAAAATCCAAATTAAAAACGCTATCGACAATATCCCCCAAGACATTATCGACAAAATAAAAGACAAAAACAAATACAAAAGGCTTTACAATAAATATAACATTCAAGACTATAAAGCGCAATATAATAAGCTGCGCCAAGACATTGGTATAGCTTTACGTACCCATCGCAACAAAGTGTGGGGCGACATACTTGCTAAGCGAACTCCATCGGATAATAGTCTGTGGAAATTAGCCAAACGCCTTAAACCTAAAAAACTAGAGTATCAAACACTACACATAAATGACACAGACTATGTATCAAATGCTGAAAAGGCTGAGGTGTTCGGCCACATCACAAAAACCGACACTTCAAACCTGACACAAGACCAACGTCGCATTGTTTCAACCGCAGGACGATTCAAAAACCAACATACCCCCATTGATAACACATATATAACATCACCACAAACCTTATTCAAAATAATAAACAACCTTAAAAATTACAAAGCCCCCGGCCACGACCGCATCGACAACATGGCTATAATTTATAGCCTATAAAACATATTCCGAAGAAAACGACAGTGCAACTTGTATATATCATTAACGCTTGTATAAGGCTTTCCTACTTCCCAACAGCATGGAAACATGCTGTTATTCTACCTCTCCCTAAGCCTGGTAAAGATTTGTCCCTACCTTCCAGTTACCGTCCCATAAGCTTAGTAAGCAACCTTTCAAAGGTTGCTGAACGCGCAATCCTACCTATCCTTAATAAACTCGACAAAACACTGAAAATTACCCCTCCCGAGCAATTTGGATTCCAACCCGGTTTGAGCACCGTCCACCAAGCAGTGCGAATTGCCCATGAAGTCAAGCAGGCCTATAACAGTGGCCAGAACACTGTTATGGCCCTCCTTGATGTCGAAAAGGCATTCGACAGGGTTTGGCTGGACGGACTTACTGCCAAACTATTATCCTTTAACATGCCACACCAAATTGTAAAACTAATCCTATCTTTCCTATCTGGTCGGACCTTCCAAGTCTGTGTCAACCAGATAAACTCCCAATACTACCAAATCGAAGCCGGCGTCCCTCAAGGAACCGTCCTAGCACCTAAGCTGTATACTTTGTATACAGCTCACATTCCCAAATCATCCCACGTCAAAGTCGGCCTTTTCGCCGACGACACCTCTATCTTTTCATCATCCTTCCACTCCCAAGTAGCCACAACACAGCTTAAAATCTATTTAAATACGCTCATCAATTACTTCCATAAATGGAAAATTAACATTAACTATGATAAAACTGAAGTCATCAACTTCAGTGTCAAACACACTAACAACCGTATCTTTGCACCAATTAAACTTAACAACGCTAACATCAGCGACAAAAGCACTGTCAAGTATCTTGGGATTACGTTCGATAAACGACTGACTTTCGGACCACACATAGCGAAGCTGAAACAAAAGTATAGTACAGCAATACGCATGCTATACCCGCTAATCAACAAGAATAGTCCCCTTTCTATAAAGAACAAGACCATACTTTATAAAACAGCAATTAGACCTGCATTAACGTACGGCTGCCCGGTCTGGTGCTGTGCTTCAAACACCCAACTGAACACAGTACAAAGATTGCAAAATAATGCGCTTAGACACTTTACCAACAGCGGCCGTTACACAACTGTAGACAGATTACACGAGTTAGCGGAAATGGAACTAATGACAGACCACATTAGTCGTATAGCCAACAATTTTTATACCTACGGCATCCAAAAAAGTCCGCTAACACGTGAAATCACAAACATTCGACAAGGTGACAATGTAAACTATAAACACAGATTAATATACGAAAGTTTACCAGTCTTCCGCCTGCCCAGACACCAATAAAGCACTAAATAAATATTATCACTCAAGGCACATAAATTTTTACATTTACATATAAAAATCGTTTAAACACCTTCAAAATAAATTTCTGCTGGCCTAGACACCTCTAATTTGATTACGCCACACCTTCAAATACATTGACACACCCTTAAATAAAATACCCTTACTGACAAAGCCAATAAGCGCACAAGCGCTGGCGAGTGATGGCGGCTGGCTGACTGACCCCACACAAGTGGGCCAAATTAGGCAGCTGCCAACAGACGCGTCATCGAGAACCTGCGGTCAGTAGGGGTAACAACAACCCCAAAAATAAAAAACAACCCCTAACCATAATAATATATTTGAAAGCCATAAACTATCTCAATTGTCTTAAATAGGTTTTTACTAATTTTCCTATATGAATAACCAAAAAATTTTGAAAAAACAATAGCTATAAATAAACCTCAATTATCTTTGAAAAACATGAACTGCAACAGAGCCCCTGAATCGCATTGCGAATGGAATGGCTAGCCGAACTCTGAAAATTCAAAACATGGTGCAAGCATACGAACATGGCACAACATCGCCAGTGGCCTGCCCTGCTTAAAATACCCCATAGAGACCCTGTTCAAACCGATAGATATTTGTATCGGGATGTATGGTGTTTCTATAGGGTGTATCGGTTTGTATAGGACCCGTAGTTGAGATTTATGGTTGTTCTATAGGGATATCCACCATTGATTTATTTGCTATCGGTTTCAATGGGGAAAATACACATAAATGTAGAAATTAGTTTTTTCCCTATAGGACCCTATAGGTTTTAATAAAATTTTGTCAAATGTTTTATGGTTGCTCTATAGGGATATCCCTATATATCCTTCATTGAGTTATTTTCTATCGGTCTCAATAGGGAAAATGTAAAAGTTATGGTGTGCCTATAGGTAATTTCCTATACATTTTCTATCGGGCTGTATCCGGAAAAACCCATGGACAAATGCACATATAGAATCCGGTAGCGCCCGATAGATTATTTTGTATAGGTCTCTATGGGGTATTTTAAGCAGGGTGGGACGCCTAGGACTCTCCGGACACAGCAAAATTTTATTATTAGCACACTGTGCTTTGTATCATATAAAATTAAAATCAATAAGCTTGCTAATATGTTTTGTACTATGAAATGACTGTGATATTTTTAACTGTAAATAAACGTTTTGGAATTGGAATTGGAATTGGTCGCTTGGCATGCAAGAGGTACCGGGTTCGATTCTACTAGAAGTTGTCAAACTTTTTTTATTTTTTTTTATTTTATAAATTTGTTGTTTCTTTGTTAAAAAGTGTTGGGTTGTGTTGGGTAGGGTTGGGTTGGGTTGGTTGGTTTGTTTTAGTTTTATTGTAACATAACAAATCTTAAAATTATGACGTCAATCGGGACTGAACTTAAGTCCCGCCTCTGGACGGGAGCCACAGCGTAACCTTTAACCATAATGAAAATTCTTCAGAAAATTCTGTAGTTTTTTTGTTTACTTCATTTAGTTCCTTAAAATGTTTTTGTCTAAATCTTCTTCATCATTATTAACATAACTTTTCACACAGGGACCCTTTACTGTTATAACTTGATTAATTGCAGGAAATCTTAATTCTTTTTGAATAACATCTGTTGTGGTAGTAACTACTTTGGGAATCATACGCAACTTTCGAGAAAAAGTAGTCGAATGTCTATAACTTAATTTTTTACGAGGGCGACTTTTTGTTGGAGCCATTTTGAAACCATTAATAAATTTATTTAGTTTCCCTAAAGTTAATGAAACTTTAGAGTTTTATTTTAAAGGCTTAAAAACTTTAAAGTGGCTAGTAAAATAAAATTAAAGTTACAGTTACTTTACGGTAGTTTTGGTTAGTACCATAAACGTGCCAAATACTAAAATAATAACTTTTAAGTTATTAACTTTGTAGTTTTCAACTAATGTTCAAGTTTCAAGATTTTAACTTGCGAAGGGAATACAAAGTAAAAATAATTATAATGTAATCTCTAGGTAGCAACCGAAAGTAACTGCTACAAATTAAATTTACTTCATTTTTTTTACTTATAACACCTTTTTTAAAGTCGCAAAGTCTTCTTGGGTACAACCAAGTTTTACTTAAATGTTTATTACTTTATAGTAACCATTTAAGGAAGTAATGGAGTTCCTGTTACAAAATATTGTTATTTAAAAGTTACAACTATTTTTGCGTTAAATTAAAGTAGCTGTTTAGTATATTTAACTAATTTAATGTTATCACCACTTGGCAATGGTTTTTGGAACCAAAAATGCTGCTTGGGCGGCTAAATGATTATTGAGATATTTGGGAAAAAAGATTGACACCCTGTAAGTTGAAAACGGAGCATTTCTGGACCTATTTTTCTATGAACTTTTTATCTTAGAATCACCCAAAGAATCGTCCCCTAAAGTTTGGCCACGTACTTAAATAACACCCTGTATATACTTAATTTGAGAACGTCATTTTATTTTATCTGAAAAACATAAATGTCGGCCAATTAAATTTCATTTGTTTTTTGTATAAAATCTATCATTGATATTATATAAAAAGAAATTGAATTTTAATGTTAATAAACAGGCAATTTTGTAAATTTGTTTATTTTTTCTTACAACTATATAGTTAATCATAACTTAAAATAAATAATTATACAATATTTACATAAATGTTAGGTAAATTGAATATAAATACCTAAAATCCTTTGATTCAAGCATTTCATTATATGTTATATTACTATTACATAACATACAAGGTCTAAAGTGCGTATAAAAAAGTAACAAAAACCCTAAGGATTATAATATCCTAGCGCACTCTCAAGAGCCGCTCTGGCAAAGTCACCCTCGCAAGGGCTTTTGCCCCAGAAAGGTCCCGGACAACCTCTCTGCTCGAAGCAAGAGTCCACAAATCGACCAGTCTTAACTGAGCAGCAGTTTACGATGGCCCAAACACAATTACTCGGGCCAGCTTGGGGTTCCTGCCTTATACCAGCTCCTGGCGATAGAGAAGGCTCATCAACGGCAAGTTGATTGGTTCCCGAACTGCTGCTGCTGCCATCTTTATGTGATAGGGGAGGAAGAGTGGGCTCCACTTTAGGTTTTGGAAGTCTTGTTGGTCTTATAGCTGCTGGTCGTGGTGTCGTTACTTTATCAGTTTCGACTGAATTTCCGCCCCATATAGGTAAATCATCATCTTCACCGAACCTATTGTCTGGCATAGTTGGTTTTTTCTCTGGGGGCAAATAGGGAGGTCCTTTGAAGTCTTTTTTGCTTCCTTGGTTATTATTGTTGTTAAATGGATGTAGGTATATGTGTTGTCTTGGAAACGCTGTATTGTCCTGGGGACTGCCAGGATTCAATAAAAATGGTTGTGGTGGGTAATACATGGGTATTCTTCCTGGTGCTCCGTATATCGGTATGTAATAAGGCCTGCCTAATTGATATGTAGGCGTTTTCCATTTCGCTATGCTTTCGTACTGAGGCGTAACTGCTCTGTTTCCCCAGGGATAAAAACTTCGTTTTCTTTTCGTTCGATTGTCCTGGTTAGAGTTTGATTCTTCTAATGCAATAGATAAACACACCAAATTGATAACTAGTAAAGTTAACCATCCCGTAATTTTCGCCATTCTGAAATATAAATACAATTAATAATTATACATCATTTAATAAGTTTTGGTAATATAAATTTGCGATTGTATTTGCTTAGTCGTCTGAATAGAATAATTAAGAGAAAGTGTTTATATTTAATAGTTAAATAGTTATGTCATCGCCATTGTATTCTTTTAATACCAAAAAGTCAAATATTCTTTAACAATCAAGAACTTAGTCACTGTTCACATATGAATAATGCTATAATTACATATTCGAAAAGTATTTACAAACAAAATATACAAAAATATATTACCTTGATAAACGGATATTTCACAAGTAGTTCAAATACTTTCTAAAGGAAAACTAACGACTCAAATAAAATATTTTACTCTTATATGATACCAAAGTCATCGTATAAATAAATTTGATCCCTAAAACTGATATAATCCTAAGGTAACAAATAAATTATTGACAAAGAAAACTAGTAGCAACTTATTCACTTAAGATAAGGTAAATAAAATTAAAACGTGCTTATGCAGGATAATGCTAAATCTTACGCGGACCGCCCATATGGCAAGATTATATTGTTTAAGTCTATTAAAACCGTAATAAATAGTTACTGAATGTATTAGGTGTAAATTTCAAATTTCGCAAAAATTACGTTTTATTTCTTTCGTTTTTGATGAGAGGCGTCAGGAGCAGACAATTTTTCCTGGATATTTATCAAGAAAAACCAAACCATAATTATTTTTCTGGATATTTTACATTTTTTTTATTAATAGAATCTTGTACTCATAAAATACATTTATTTTTAAAGCACTTATATTATTATATATATATATATATATATATATATATATATATATATATATATATAATATTTTCTAAAAGATGTGTTTATATGTTTATAAAAACAAAATTAATAGTATAATTAAAAAAAATGGTCGATTATAAGCATTCGTTTGACACACAAGCTAAGGGAACGTGGCAAGAATGCGACCATTCTTTACGAGATTTAAATATTATTTTGTCCCACAATCAAATCAAAAATTAAATAAAACACTTTATGAACGAATCTTAGCTTAATTTTAATTTTTATATACAAAAATAATAATAATTATTATTATATTATAGAAAACCTATAGGTTTCTAACATTTTTTGCTATGTTTTATTATTATTAGACTTTAACATTTAATTTTGAATTTAATTTAATATGTAAACAATGTTAAAAATCATGATTATGTAAGTATGCATTATTTGTATGTAATAATTTAAAATAATTTTCTTTTTTTCTTTTATTATCTTCTTTTTTTATTGTTTCACTTGTGGAACAATATTTTTATTATTCAACTATAGTTGAATATAACAATAGCTTACTTTGTTTATTGTTTTCAAGCGTACACAGAGACAAACTTGTATTTGATTTGATAATTGTATAATTTTTTTAAAAATTGGTGCTAAAAAAGTGACAGGAACAATTTGTGCAAAATTTTAACAAATAATTGTAGTAATTGTAGTTTAAATTAAAAACGTACATAACACTGTGCGACAAATTTTGACCTTACAATTTGAACTGAGATGAAATGTGGAAAAATCGAATCTATGCAACCCCCAGAACTAATCTTTAAAGGGGTTTTGCTAGTTTAGCTCGAATAATGGAGATATATATAAAAGCCCCTAGAACTTAAAAAATATATGAATTTTATAGAAAAATGCTCGGACACGTCGATTTTCATTTTATATGACGCAATTTTCAGTTGATTTTGAAATTTTTATTTTTTCACAGATTACTCCCCAGCCACCCCACTTTTTTTTTAAGAAAACCGACCCTTTGTTATACCTTAAATAACAGGTAATGTATGTAAATGAATTAGTCAAAAGTAACTAATTTAATAGTTAATAGTGGCTGCTTTTTCACTTGTGCCATGGTTAACCATGGGATACCATGGTATCCCAAAATTTAACAGCCAATTCTTATGTAAAATTTTCCCCTGAATCAGAAAATACCGTCAAAATTTAAAAAAGTAGAACAGTTTTTTGAGATATAGTCAATTACATATTAAATGGAAAATTGACTATATCTCAAAAACTGTTCCATTTTTTTAACTTTTTCGGATTTAGGAGAACATTTTACATAACAATTGGCTGTTAAATTTTGGGATACCATGGTATTCCATGGTTAACTATTAAATTAGTTACTTTTGACTAATTCATTTTTAGAGAGTACATTACCTGTTATTTAAGGTATAACAAAGGGTCGGTTTTCTTTAAAAAAAAAAAGTGGGGTGGCTGGGGGTGAATCTGTGAAAAAATAAAAATTTCAAAATCAACAGAAAATTGCGTCATATAAAATAAAAATCTACGTGTCCGAGCATTTTTCTATAAAATTCATATTTTTTAAGTTCTAGGGGCTTTTATATATCTCCATTATTCGAGCTAAACTGGTAAAACCCCTTAAAGGATTTGTTTTGGTGATTGCCTAGATTCGATTTTTTCAGATTTGATCCCAGTTCATTTTTTGTGTTGCACAGTGTAATTTATTTCACATTTAAACATATTTTAATCTAGTCGGCTCATATAATTTGTGTGAGTAAATGAGTATTTTTGAGAATTTTTTAATATAATATTTTGTGGTAAAATGAAACTAAATTATTAGTTTAGATATTTATTCAGCGACTAATCCAAATAATATGGAAAACAGAATAGAAAATAGAATAGAAAATAGAATAGACTACCTAAACTGACAACATAAAATAAACATAACAAAACATAAACTACAAACTAAAAAATAAAATTAGCCAATTTTAATAATTTTGAGACAAACAGAAAAATTGTAAATATAAAATAAACTTAATATAAACTGAAAAAACTACTAAAGTAAATATATACCTAAACACTTTTTATTCTCATTTGAGTTATTCCAGTCCCAAACAATTTTGCAAATACTTTCCTACCTATTCGGTAAATTATATTTAATGATGAATACACTTCCTAACACAAACTAAGACCGCAAACTGATGATGCAGATGGTAGCTGAGCGACCGGCCGGCGACTTATTTTAAGCGGGAAATCATTTAATTGGTCATCTTAGATGGTATTATGGTAAAGGTTACTTCATACCCAAACAAATTGTTCAATATTGTAAAATTTATATTCAACTTTCAACTCTTTCCTTGCAAATGGTATGAGTATAAGGAACGTATGGATGGCCCCATCGGCAAAGCCTTACACTAATCTCCCAAGGATATTTTACCCCCTTTCAGTTCTCCTACGGATCCCGCCACTGCACAGTAAGTACCAAGAAAAAGTACTTAAGTACAAGTTTTTTTTAATACGAATCAAGTACTAGTACAAGTATAAATAAATAAGGATATACTTAAAACATCAAGTAAATTTACTGGAATTATCCAAATGTAAGTACAAGTAGTATAATTCACGAAAATCAAAGTCAACGCGAACTTAAAATGATATTTTACTTTAAAACATAATTTAAGTATTTTTTATGTTAAGTAATGTTCGGATTAAACTAAAAATTAAATTATTGATTATAAAATGATATTTAAGTACAAATACTTTAAAAGATAATTTAAGTATTTTTTATGTTAAGTAATGTTCGGGATTAAACTAACAAATTAAATTATTGCTTATCGATAAATTTATAGTAGTAATAGTAGTAATAGGGGATATTCAGTATAGGCGGTATATCCGAATAATGAAACAAAATCGTTTTTGTTAATGTGTTTTTATTAATAAAAAGTTTAACATAAACAACTTACTCAACATAAACAAATATGGTGAAAAATAACTAAAACTTATTTGCTTCTAAAGTAACCAGTTTTTCGAAATTGCCGTTACTTAACACCGCAAAACACCATTCCCTGCACATGTCAGGAATATACCCAGTCATCATAAAAAGAATATTCTATGTAACGGCATGCATTAGACTTAAGTATTGTTAGTAGAATGTCCCTTAATATAATTTGGGGATTACTCCTAGCCCTTATGGCCACTTAAACTCAGGAACTTAACTTAACTAGCCATTATTAGTTACTGAGTAGATCAGTCCCACTCTAATCATTGGTTAGCAGTGCCATCACAGACGATATTTTTAACCTATCGGTATATATAGTTATCAAGCGGGCGTAAGCAGCAGTGAGAGGTATTGCAACTAATTAATGTTCACTGGGAATGTTCTTAGATGGTGTTTGGAAGTTTTAGAGGATCATTCTATGGAATATTTCAAATGAATATTCCTATAATGAAGCGGATTATTCCTAGGCGATAGGGCATATTCCTGGAATATTTTCGAACCTTCATTGCAGTCTGGGTTAGTGCAAGTCTATGATGCGCATTAATAATTAAAAAAGCGCTCAACAGGAGCTGATGACGGGAGGATTGTGTTATATTTACGAAAAACAATTTTAATTCTCCACGTGAGATTGGGTGAGATTAATGTACACCTTTTTATGAATACCGCTGTACTTGTTAGTTTATTACACTTCTACTTCTACTTACTACTACTTACACCTATTTTCACGAAGTACCATTTTGGTTTTCAAGTAAATTGTACAACTAAAAATATTAACTTTAAGTATTTTAATAACACTTAAGTGTAAATTTTCGAATGTTTTGAAGTAAAATATACTGGTATGATATTTTAAGTATTAAGCACAAGTAAAATTTGAAAAACCTAAAATTGCAAGTACCTAGAAGTACTTGAAGTATTTTTTTACTTAAGTACTTACTTCAAGTATTTAAAATACTCAGTATAAAAGCTCTGCCTGTGTTTGGTGGATTCGAATTTTCACCCCGGCTGGTAAGGGGCCGTTCATTAATTACGTGAGGTGTTTAGGGGGGGGAGGGGGTCGAGCCAAACCTCACCAAATCTCACGTGGGGGGAGGGGGGTTCTCGGCAAATATCACGTAATTTTTTTTCCGAAAGAAAGAGTGTAAAATTGCGAGAAAACTGGGTTAAATTAAGTAATCAATTATAAACAAATTGTTTTTTTAATAAATCTAATGGAATCAAGCACAG